CATATGAATCTTGAAATTTATTCAAGCTCCCTTTTTTGTTTTTCAAATTGTAACCTTATAATACAAACAATGCACTTCCAATAATTGTTGAGGTGGAAACCACGTCCATCTTTTTAAGAGATTGAATTAGTTGGAGTAACTATAATTGGGATCAAACTAAAGTATAAGTACCTAATTGAATAAAATTGAAATATAGTTACCTAATTGACATTTGGTTGAAAGTACAATCACTGTTGATGAAATTATCCTCAAACAATTAATTGAGTTTCAATAGAAATAATAATAATTTATCATTTTTGAAGCATATTACCGAGTCCCGACATGCTCTGTCGTCTGATCTTGTCAAAAGGTTTAATTGCCTAATTTGCGTGTACCAAACGCCGTCGTATCCTCTCTCGATCACACAGTCTTCAAATATTAGTATCCAGTCGCCTCGTTTAGCCACGCAAAAAATATAAAAATTTTGCATTGACGAAAGAAAAAGATAAAAATTACAAAGAAAAATGGAGAGTAATACTAACAGCATTACGTGCTCCGGCGATCGGCCGACGGTGATGGTGACCAACGATGACGGAATTGATGCTCCCGGCTTGCGTGCTCTCGTAAGCGTCCTCGTCTCTTCGAATCGCTTCAACGTCCTCGTCTGCGCTCCTGACTCGTATGTATATACACGCAGATATTGATGCCTATATTCTTTCGTTTATATGAATACCTACTGCATATATTCGTGCTTAAGGAGGGATTATATTTTATGCAAGTCAACTCTAGTTCTAGTTCTAGTTCTTTGAGTGGTGATATGGTCCATTAAAGTATTTGTAAGTTTGTTACGTGACGTGATTGTAGCTGTTTTAGTTCTTTTTCACTCTCTCTAGTATTGATTTTATTTTATCTTATCTTTTTATTATTATAATTTTTTCTGGTGATCATTATTGTGTTGAGTTGCAAATCAGCTTATAAAAGAAAAAGTAAAATCATCACACTCACTTTTGCCTGGACATGCTTTCTGTATGTGTAGCGCATGCATTTGTATATAATTTAGCTTGTTTAGTAGTTTTATGTTCAGTCATGTGAATCTGACTTTACATTCGAACTTTCATATTCGAAAGTGTGTTAGCTTGTTTTTTCTCCACTCTTTATTATTATTGTTTTTTTTTTTGTTTGTTTGGTGAATTGTTATTTAGCCACCGTTTGTTTCCAAATATGACCGTTATTCATCACATCAAATCACTAAATTTGAATTTTTTTATCTCTTTTGTGAGTGAGGCCCGTAACGAATATATTTTTCATTCTTCAAAAAATGGGAAACAAACGGGTTTGGAGAATGTGTCATTAAAAACTGGGAAAACGTTTTGAATTTACGTGTAAAGTTATTTTGTTGGAAGAATGTGTGGTTAAAAATGAGTTTTTGAAGAATGTGGCTCGAACTCGGGCTTTATCTGTCTAATTACTAGTTAAAAAAAAAAAAATAGAGGCAAAAGACTTGAATTTTTGGAGAAATTCGAGGTTACAATTTCCTTCTTTTTTCATCTAGCTTTATTTCATTGGCATTTAACATTCAGTATTGCTTTTCGTCTGTGATCCTATCAGATGCTCTATTCCTGTCAATCTAGTATAATGACCATCTGAAATTTATTTCCAATTATGAAAATACCTTCGAGGTGATGCCTCAATGTTATTTCTTACATGTGCTGTTTCTTTTTCAGCGAAAAATCTGCGGTTAGCCATGGTGCCACTTTGAGAACTGTTTCTGCTAAGCCAGTGGAAATCAGTGGAGCAACTGCTTTTGCAGTTTCTGGTCAGTTGCAATTGTCAGTAATTTTTTGTCATGTATATTTCCTGTGTCTTGTGTTTTGAACACTCAAAAAGAATGGAATTTTTGACGTATAAAAGAAGGAAGAAACTTTTGAAATTAGGAAATTGAAGAAATATAAGCAATATAGTTGATGATTGTAATAATTGATGTTAGAAAAATTGCATTAGGCTGTTAATAGGGATGAGAATATAAATCTTCTTCACTGTGGCTGATCTCTAAGTAATGACAAATCATGGGAGCATAGAGCAGATGTGTATATATTTCTCTCTTTTTTCCTGAATGTTGTTATCTTTCTGAGAATGTTCCAAGATCTATTTTTCATTTCAAATTAAAAACTTCTTATCCTTTTCAACTTTGTGAAATCATGAACTTGCAAAAGTTATGACTGTCCGTAATAGAATGTGCTGAGATACATGCCAACCTTCAAGTAGCATATATATGGGTCCTTGTTCCTTGTCTTGCTAAGCAAACCATCTAGCATTTCATTGGTTTTCAGTATGTGCTTGGTGAAGCTTAATATTCACTACCACTTATGTGAAGACATATATCTTCATGCTGCATTTCGGGATATTTCCCATGAAAAATTAACATTCTGCATGCATACATAATGATTCAAAACCTCAATTTAATTTTTAATTTATCCTCATTATTTGTTTATGATGTGAAGGGGATACCAAATTTACTTGTTGATCTTGCAGGTGCTAAATTCTGCAACTTCTTGGCATTTAACATATTATTTTCTGATTCTCTCATGCTATAGATATAAACTACCAAATTCTTTCATGTTCAGAATTACATTCTATACTCGATGTAGCTTAACATTCACAAACACTTATGTGACGACCACGTGTTGCATTTTTACGATTACTTCTCATCCAAATATGAAGAGTTGTCATTGACCTTTTTTTTCCTGTAAACATGTTGGTTTCGAAATTTATTTCAAATCAATTTTCTATTTAATCTCATTTTTTAAATACAACTTGAATCCATATGCAGATGCCAAATTTTGCATCTCCTCGGCATTTAACACTTGCTTTGATTCTATAATACTGAAGAATCAGAGCTCAATAAGCTCCAATGAGCGATTCAATCCGATTAGGTCTCATTAATAAGCTCCAATGAGCGATTCAATCCGATTAAGTCTCAATTAATGAGCATGCGGATTTCAAAATTGATATGCTCAAATGAGTCACCGTCTTGCGGGGATGTGTTAAGGGAATATAATTCTACATCGGTTAAATACCGAAATATAAACCAATTTATAAGATCTTGGACCACTCCACTTAACGAGGTTGACCTTATTAACATGTATCCCAAATCTTATATATGC